CTGAAGTTACTTTACTTAGTTATCACCAAATAACCCAGTAATGTTACAGCTACCTAGTTGCTGTTCAAGCTAGACTCTATATTTCAATATAGTTTTGGTATTAAAATAATGTTACACCTCTTGTATGCCCTGAACGCCAAAACAACCACAGACAACAATATATATTTTTAATTATCAAAATGATAACAAAGGCTGAAAAAACAGGAGAAGCCTGTCTTCCCTTGGTCTCCAGGAGAAAACGCCACTGCATATCACCACGTTTTCATAGTTTTGTGTGTGAAATAGATCGCTGCAGTGAACACGACTTTATTTATTTGCTTATGGTTTATTTGATATGGAGCGATGCAGTATAGAGAGGCGAAGTCCCTCCCCTTCCGGTGGACCTCCATGGGACCTTATTTCGGAAAAATTATGTATTGAAGTCAATGGAGAGAGAAAGATTATCTTTCGATCCCGTTTGAATTGTGCCACGAATTACACATATGATGTTTGTCAATTTAAAAGATAATTTTGCAAGTTAAAAAAAAAAAAAAAGTGTCGTAAAACTGTGAAGTAACACATTTGTTTGTGTGAAACGCTCAATGAACTACATCTCTGGTCAACAACACACGTCACCAAGATGGCCGTCACTACTGTCTTGTCAACAAAACGATTGACTACCCTCACTATCACCACAATGAAACACGTCCAGAAGAATGTCATGCAAAGCTGCCTGCCTGCCTTCCTTTGATTCTCTCTGAACTGCCTGGTCTTTTTAATGTTTAATGTCAACCATTTGTGCAGATAGCATGAAGTGCAAAAGATCGCCGATGCTAGCGTTAGCATTTCTCCCCCGGTCTTAAAGTGTGTATTATAGAATGACCACACCGGTGACAGTACTCTTCAAAGGGTTCACGAAATATGAGTACTACTCTTACTGTTTAACATTTTGGGTTACTTAATGTTACTTCATGTTAAGGCTACTAGCTAGGTAGCTAACTTGATCCAGACACTCCTGGTCCTTTCATCAGACGGGAAGCGAAAGAACGAGCAAGACCCATTGCTGGTATGATAACAACCTGGTACTAAGCACACAGGCATCTTGTTAAAGTGATCTTATCTTAGCCAGCGCCATATAGATAGATTATATCTATATGGCGCTGATCTTAGCTATCTCTTAGTGGAGGAAAACAATTGTGACATCACTTACGCGACTCTTGGATTTGTAGTCTTTCTAGTTACGTATTTTTCATAGTCTTATATTTCAACAGTTTTACGACAAACTGTGACTTTTTTGACATGGAAATTATTTTTTAAGATTGACAAACATCATATGTGTAATTCATGGCACAATTCAAACGGGATCGAAAGATACGTTTTCTCTCTCCATTGACTTCAATACATTATTTTTCCGAAATAAGGTCCCATGGGGCGGAAGTAGATGGGCGTGACTTCGCCTCTCTATACATAGAAGTTCAGAGAAGAAGCAACCCCTATATATTGTTTATTTTATGTCATTTCATTTCGCGAAGCGCTGTAGTCCACCCCCCCCCCGTTGACAATCGCCGCGAAGCGCTGTACTCCACTACTAGAATTTCTTTTCTTTATTATTCTGATTTGTACAGCATTTTAGTATAGTAGTACATTTAACGTGTCAAAAACAAAGTGACAGTAACAGACTGGAAGAAGAACAAACCAGTGTTTTTTTACATACTAGTGCTAACAAAGTAGGCATTTTCTTTGTGCAAATAAACAAGGAAATTCAATAATCAGACCCTGCAATAAAATTAAAATAAATTTCAAGTAACTCAACTCAAACTCACTAACTCACTCTCACTCATCAGACAGGATTTTTCAGGAAGATGAGCATGTCCACATTTCCAGGTAGAAGCTGGGATCTTTGGGCGTTTACAATATCCCCTGCTGTGGAAAAAACTCTCTCACTTGGTACTGATGTGACTGGGGCCTCTTTTAAAGAAACAGCCCTGTCCTGAGTGTATAATAAACAATATGGCAGTGTTTATGTTGTGTTACTACTGAAAACTGACGTTGGTTGACAGACAAAAAAATCAGTATCTTGTAGTCCTCTTGTGTGCTGGAGCGAGTCCATGGGCTAAACCATTCGTTCCCTAAGAGAGGGGGTGGCTGATTGAAGTGCTGAAGTTTGCATTCTCAATTTGGTAATAGCATGACGTTTGGTGTACTGTGAAACGTACAAGAAAAGTCAGCACATATTATATTCAACTCGTAACTAGCTGTAAGGGGCATGCCTCGTCCTAAAAAGTCCCGGCACCAGCTTACAAAGCTGCGATAGGCAAGATGCCGAAAACGCCTATAAGGGGAGGAATGGATGATATACAGTGTATATATGTATATTTACACATGTTCATTTTGTACATTTCTAAAAATAAAGTTTGATGGAAATACTTCGTATCCTTTCTTCCCTGAATTATTTGCTCCTATAACTTATCATTCATATATAGCAAACCATGATTTGATTTATCATCAAACAGTAGTAGTTTATTACAGGTAAGAATAACGTACTCTTCTATAACAACAGTTGTAGGTACAGTTCGGTTAGTTAGCGTATAAAATATACGGCTGTACCGAGGCCATTATAAGACTGATGTTCCACTCAGAGCGAGCCGAAAAAAGCACTGTTAGACATGGGCGGAGCCTCTCTGGTGGTTGACTAATCAGAACAGAGTGGCCGTGCTGACCAATCGGAGCACACTAAGCTCACAGGGAGGGGGGGGCAAGAGCTCCAACGAGCCGTTTAGTGGAGAGAGTGAATACTGCTGAATACACATACTTTACAGAGATGCTGTATGCGAAACCAATGTGAGTTTGGAAAATTGCACAGTATAAATCTATTTTAGTATACCTCAACAATGGAATTATGATCAGTGGAAATGGCCATGACATGGGACCTTTAAGACTGACATTGTTTTAATAAGAGCCGTATTTCCTGTGTGTGTTCAGCGCTCTGCTTCCACTCCCTGCAGCCTGTCAGCTCCTCTCAGAGACTGTGTTTGTTGTTTCAGATGATGCTGCTATTTTAGTTGATACAAACTTTCCTGTCGGCTCCCAGACCGTAGTCGAGGAAAACAGGGGATGACTCTCTGCAGTCTTCCAGGCCCGAAGCAACAAACTTCGGGTTCAATAACCCACTTTGAAATAAGGCAGAACGGCGAGCTCTTCTTTGGGGGCCGTTGAATTTATTAAGGTCTTTCTTACAGATCTAACTTTGAAGACACTCGACAGACCTATTTTGCTGCTGCTTCGTTCGCCTCAAAACACACACACACACACACACACACACACACACACACACACACACACACGCCACACCCCTCTCTCTCTCTCTTAAGGAGATAGCGATCTGACTCGGCATGACCCTAATATCATAGCACTTGTCATTTTACCTTGAATGCCATTGCTTTAATTTATTTAATTTATTATTCTCATTGTTCAAAGGTTTGTCTTATGACTGAAACATTTTTCCAGGTTTGAAATAAAGCACAATAATTACATTTAAGACAGTTTCCCCTTTTTTAAGAAATCGCAATTCTTGACTTGGTATCGAAACAAAAATGTTGGTATCGTGACAATACTAATGCATACAATGGCACTGTTCTAGTGGTAAACACTGAATAAACGTTCCGCCCCAACCTATCAGAAACATCGCTGTATCAGAATAATGCGCAACGTGTTTTGGGAGTAATATGGTCTGATTACATTAGCAAGCATCGCTAACACTGAGAGCTAACGCTGTACTGGAGGGAGTATGTGTGAAGAAGCCGGATATTAAAGGAACTCACCTTGTGCTAAACCCGCAAGATAGAAAGCGTTTGAGCTCCATACTGTTTCAGAAATAATGCTTGATGTGGTTTGGAACATAATCTATAGTGATGTTAAAGGTAGGGTAGGTAATTCATTGGTCATGTGCGCGTTCGTTTGTGTTGGAGGAGGGGCTCTGTGAGGAAGTCTGAAGGAAGGGGCAGATTTCTTTCGGTTGTGTACTTTCAAATTCTAGCGCACTCGAGCTGGTTTCTCCATTCTTACCTACCCTACCTTTAAGTACTGCGCCGAGGCTTCGGAGCGTGGTTCGAATAATCCAGGAAATATGTATCCTTATCCCATAATAATAAGACCATCAGAAATGGACAGAAGACTTTTGCTTGATTTAAGTTTGTGGAGTGCTGTCAAAGGGATGCTAGCTGTGACTGTCACTTCTCTTTTTTTTTTTAAACTAAAACAGTACGTCATTTTAAATATGGTTTTGTCTGTAATGCTGAGTTACATTTTGCAATCATAATTTTGCCACCCTGTGTATAATTAGATCAATTAATTTTTTTCTCATTTACTCTGTGATTAGGACAATTCTGGAGGACTGGGTCTGCTGGGGAATGAGCTTCCACCCACACAGGACCCCCCTTGGTGATATTGTCATATCATATACACAACTACGGTGTAGTTATGCTATGCAAACGTAGGTCACCGGTTCCTCAACAGTACTACTCCTGCCTATTTTCTAAGTGTTAAATGAAGGGCACAGCTAGCAGTGCCTTAATAGGAGCCCCCTCCAACTTTCTAAAACAATCACTAAAAACAGACCAACATCTCATGCAGCCAGTACATACAGAGCTAACCCTGCTAACTAACATTAGCATGAATTACTCAAACCTACATGTAGAGACTCATATCTGCAAACAGAAAAGTAGAAACTTCGCCCCCACGCTCTCCCTGTCCAAACTAAGCACTGTTACTATGATTTAGATCAGCTACAGTACTAACTCACCTGTTGTCCTGAAGCTCTCCAGGGCATCTGGAAAAAAGGTGTAATTGACAGACAATCGAGCCAACAGAAACACAGAGTGGGCGGGACTTAGCAAATCAATAGGCAAGCATTTAAAATAAGGAATGGATAAGGGCTGCAAAGTTAATGAAGTGTTACTCGTGGTTAGATTTTAAATTCTTATACTCTACAGTTTCTCTGAATATGTGTTTCCTGTTTCCTGCAGACGTCCAGCAGCTGGTGGTGGTTAAAGAAGAGGTTCCCCCTGAGCAGCAGGAGTGGAGCTCCAGTCTGGACCAGGAGGACGCAGAGCCCCCCCCACACATTAAAGAGGAACAGGAGGAACTCTGGATCAGTCAGGAGGGAGAACAGCTTCAAGGGCTGGAGGAGGCTGATATCACCAAGTCCACATTCACTCCTGTCCCTGTGAAGAGTGAAGATGATGAAGAGAAACCTCAGTCCTCTCAGCTTCATCAAAGACAAACTGAACACCTGGAAACAGAAGCTGATGGAGAGGACTGTGGAGGACCAGAACCAGCCAGGAACTCAGATCCAGAGAGACATTTACAACCAGAGACTGAGGACAACCCTGGAGACTCTTCTGAAGACACTGAAGACAGTGCTGATTGGATGGAGACCAGAGAACCACGTTCAAACTCTCAGAGAAATAAACAAGACCCTGTCAGTGATTCAAGACGTAGTGCTAGAGATAAATGCTTTAGATGCTCACAGTGCGGGAAAGAAAATTGCAGCAAGATACATCTGAATAGACCCATGAGCACCCACACAGGAGGGAAACTATTCAGCTGCTCAGTTTGTAACAATTCTTTTACACAGAAATCAAGTTTAAAGACACACATGAGAATCCACACAGGAGGGAAACCATTCAGCTGCTCAGTCTGTGACAATTCTTTTACACAGAAATCAAATTTAAAGACACACATGAGAATCCACACAGGAGAGAAACCATTCAGCTGCTCAGTCTGTGACAATTCTTTTACACTGAAAGGAAATTTAAATAGACACATGAAAATCCACACAGGAGAGAAACCATTCAGCTGCTCAGTTTGTGACAATTCTTTTACACTGAAAGGAAATTTAAAGACACACATGAAAATCCACAAAGGAGACAAACCATTCAGCTGCTCAGTCTGTAACAATTCTTTTACACAGAAAGGAGATTTAAATAGACACATGAGAATCCACAAAGGAGACAAACCATTCCATTGTAGTGTTTGTGATAAAAGATTTATCTGGGGTAATCTGGTCAAAAGCCATATGTGTGTTGGTCGTCAGTCCTCACAGCTTCATCAAACTGAGGAGAACAGAGAGGCAGAGTCTCCAGCCAGCAGCTCAGCTGAACACATGGAAACAGAAGCTGATGGAGAGGACTGTGGAGGACCAGAACCAGCCAGGAACTCAGATCCAGAGAGACATTTACAACCAGAGACTGAGGACAACAAGGATGACATTTTCTGTTCATTTTCAGGTTGGTATTAGTATGTTGTCTTCACTGGGACATGTCTCCATGCTTTAATGTTGAAAAAGCTCTTTATTTTTGTCATACTGCCTCTTTTCACCCTCTGTCTGAAACCAGAGCCCAGTCTGCTCTGAATGGTTAGCTGGCCGGCTCTGTTGTGATTGGTCGACCACTTAAAGATGTCCCGCCCCTTAGCCTATCATATACAACGTGTTGTTGTGCCCCCAGGTCAAATCAATCAGGATACTTTCCAGAGGGGAAATGTACGTCGTTACAACAGAAAAGAGCCAAAAGCAGCTTAATGTTACGTAGAAGCATGCATACAAAAGTATTAACGTTTTTCTTTTTAAAGTTCTGAGGATTTAGCAGCCAGGTATATATTGCACAGTTAGCACATAGTCTGATCGCTGCAGGAAGGAAGGACCTGCGGTATCTCTCCGTGAGACAGCGGGGGTGCAGCACTAAGCTTCTCGGACAATCTTTTGTGCCTGTAGCCATCAGGCTGCACAACCAAGGGTTAACCCTGTAACCCATTATACATAACCTGCATCTTCATCAATATCTCAACTCTTTGATATTAATTTGTAACCCTCTGTGTTTTATTAGGGATGCAACCATACCGATCCCATTAACGGGTATCAGGCCGATGCTGTCCTCATGTACTCGTACTCCTATCGGTGCATCCCTAACTTTTGGTGAAATCTAAATGTCTTCCTCGTAGGTCTTCCGATATCTTTTTTTTGCGAGGCATGGTTCACATCAGAAGTTAAAACTTGTGAATAGCAAATAATAATGTTTGAAGGATTTTGATATGTTAACGCTGGAGCAGGACTTCTTATCGTGTTTCACCGATTAAAACAAAGTGTTTTAACTCCTGACTCAATTAGTTTTTGTTAAATTCTAGAAGGTCACATACTTTTAGTGATTTAATCAAAATGGACGCGAATACATGTGTGTTCTACAAGATGAAGCGGATTGTGTTTGTCTATAAGTGTGGCTTACATGAAGATCAGATCACATTAAATGAGCAATTCATGCAAAAACCTATGAAGCTCCCTCTGGAGGGCAGCATATATATATGTCATATACTATGACCATTCTTTACTTATTTATAATATGGTTCAAATGGAGTAATTTGAGTTGTCTGATGCACTTGATACAATTTTACTTTTTAAAAATACTGATGTGTTTATTCAAAACCATTTCAACACACAATGTCATGACTTTTTTCAGGATCTTTTTGTCAAACTATACTATGACTTTCTCTCTTTTTTTTTTTTTTTATATATTTTTTTTTATATATATAATATAATTCTTAACTACATACTATACTTGGACTTTTTTCAAGATACTTTTAACATACTATACTAGTACTTTTAAAAATAAATGTTCAGACATTCTACACTGTGACTCTTTTTTTAAAATGATATGTAGGAAATACTATACTATGATTTGAAGACAACAGTTTTTTAAAATGTAAAAAAAACACTTTTTTTATTTGCAGAATTTCATATTTACAATTTATTGTGTTCACCCCATAGGAATCAGTAATACATTTATACTGATTGCAACATCCCCAGGATCTTCTCCAGCACAGAATCCCCCAGATGAAGGGAAATATTATAATGGAGTTTTTGCACTTCGGCCAAAGTATTCGTGTGTATGCTGTTTTTGACACAAAGATGCATTACATCTACAAACAGAGCATACAATGCGAGCACATGATACACTTTTGGTGTTTGTTTCATTTCTTCGGTAATGTTACAGAATGTTTCGGAAAATGAAGATTCCAGTACCACTTTAAATGTTTCGTTTACAATCGTTTCCCAATGACCCGGAATAGTACTGCCAGAATGAACGATATCCAAAATGTCTTCTAGTTTACAAACTTCAGCCATTCTGTTTACACGGGGATCACTACTCATTCTGTTTTCAATCGTCATCAACAACACACTTATTAAACAGGTATTGACTGCATTCTGATAAATATATACAGATTGTTTTCCATAGTAGTTACCCATTTTTTATTTTACTTTAAAGAAAAGTCAAAGTATCGGGAAAAAAAGAAAAAAAAAATCCTGGCTTCAATCAACCGCTGGTTTTTAGTCTTCTTCTTCTCCATCCAGCTCGGCATGGATCTTTTCAAGTCTCTCCTTGAGGCGTCTGCAGTTTTTGAGATTGTACAGAAAAGCCTCCGAAGCGCCTTGGATCCTCCATTCAGCCGTGTAAATGTTTTTTATCATTAAGACTCTGGTCAATCACAGTAATGAAGCCGGCGATCCAAAGTCTTTTTCATTAACGCGTTGTAATTGTTTCTGAAGAAATATTCTGGAATGTCATTCACACAATCGTGTTGCCTCTGGCCGGGGTGACTGACTCGGCAGCCATTGCAGATTTCTTCTCTGTACCGATACAGCACCCTCTCCAGAATATCAACCAACTCCGATTTCACTATGTTCAAAAACAGAGACGTCTTGGCCCCAGGAGTAACATCAGCAGTAGTAGTACTGCAAGATTTGGGTGTCCACAATGGTGGTGATGATAGTAGTCCAGGAGTTTTTTCCTGGCTGCAACTCGCGGGGGTAGACTTGGTTTTTCTCAGATCCCTGGCTAGTTTTCAACGGTCGTCTTAGTGGGGTCCTTCGTTTTAGATGATTTGCTGAGTGGGGGGTGGACTTATTGCGTTGAGTGGGGGGATTCATCTGTAGAATTGAGAGTTTTTAGAAAGTTCTTTAAGCGTTGTAGCTTTTTCATCTATCTTTTTCAACCAAGCAGCAAGAGGTCAAATTTAAGAATAAGTAATAGTTTGTCACGATTTACGGAAAAAGTCAGAGCGCGATCTCACATCTTAAAGACAGCTTGAACTGGATAGATGGTTAGTCTTTTTTTTTTTCAAACATACCATACGTTCTGCATGTTAGTATATTAGGCCAATCGGGTTAGGCCCTACTGCCCCACTCCCTCAATAGGGAAGTCACGCTTTGGGAAGAGGTGTTTAATTTCACAGATCTGACTTGATTGTTGTTGTGATGGCTGAAGGAAGAGGGACGGGGGGAGGAAAATTCAGAGGGTGAAGAAGCAGAAAGATAACTTGTTTGTAAAACGGACAGCACGTCAGTTTCAGGAAAGATGACACCGGTTTTATGCATGACATGCCAAATATCCTGAAGCCCTACAGAAAAAGGTACAAGTATATTGTGTTGAAAATATCGCAAAAAGTCGTAATATTGTGTAATGTATTAGTTGCATGTTGTATTTTGATAAAAATCACTGTGTAGTTTTTCAAAAATATAATGGAAAAAGGAGAGAAAAACAAAAATCACAGTATGTTGAAAAATATGAAAAAAGTAATGTTGTGTTAAAATAACATGAAAGAAATCAAAGTAAAGCATCTAAAAACATATATTTAAAAAAAGTTATGTTAGTCAAGTCAAGTTATCAAAACCGCATTGTTTCATCGAAACAGTGTTAAAATCACAAATTCTCCATTTAGAGTTTGATTCTTTAAGAAACTCATTTCATTACAAATTAATGAATATTTTACCAAGTTATAAAGTTTTGCATCCATTAAAGTGTAACTATAAGTATCTTTGTAGGAGAAAAAACAAAAATCATTTAAGTTATTTCCAGAAAACTGGATTGTCTTACTATAAAATGCCTTTAAGAGTCACAGTCTTAAAGAAAATCTGTTCAGAAAAAAGTACTACCTTCACTTTTTGTAACTCTTTCTCATAAAAAAGCCCCCTTGATCTCTTCTCCATCATAATCTTTGAGTTTGTAAACAGATAGTTGACGAGGTATGCGTTCGGACGCCGTAAATAATTCGTCGGTATAACTCTGTTCATATTTTTTATCAAAGACCCCTCTCGCCTTGGAAATTCTTACAAGTTCCCCCTCCTCAAAGTTCATTTTCGTAGCACCTTTCCCCTACTGATGCTAGTGACCCCCCTTTGTATGCTAATTACCCCTTTGTTCGAGGTGTTATCACATGTAGGTGTGTTCAGTTAAACACTGAGATTTTCAACATACTACTCTACAAAATGATTTTTTCATATTCTTTTGACAAACTATACTTGACTTTTTTACGGAAAATCATGACAAACTTTAATGTGACTTATTCTTAAATTTGCCATACTAAAGTAAGACTTGAAAATACTATATCGTTGTTTTTTAAATTATATTTCAACATATAAAACAGAACTTTTGTTTGTGTTAACATAACATTGACTGGCTTTTCCTTGATCATTTCAACATGAAATACTATGAGTTTTTTATTTTTATTTTTTTTAAATGATATTTTAATATAGCATATTGGCGGAGATAATATTTACGGGCCCTTTGAGTAGAATGTTAAAAAGTAAGCTAGTCCCAGACTGTAGTGCCCACTCCTTAGGTTGGCTCCACTTAGGTTAAATTACTTTAGTTAAAATGAGGACATTCTAAATATGGTTAAAGTGGAGTAATTTGGGGTGTCAGATGCACACAAGCCTCTTTATTTGTTTGTTTGCACTGCTGTGTGCACTTAAATTGATGTTGATGGTTAAATTAGTTATTGGTTCAAATGTACTGAGTTCTTAACATGTCATCTAAATGTAGAAATGCCTTGGGCATATGGTTCTTGTTTAAAAAACAATGCAGCATTTTATGTATTTGTTTGTCCTGCTTTTACAACATACAGTATAAGCACTCCTATGTTGTAGTTGTAGTACTTTACCGTATCTGTAGCTATTAACATGATTGCTCATATTTCAAGCCATATTATTCCTGACCCCTTATTTTGGATCAGTTTTCATCAACCAGCCACCATTCAAAACCGCATACATACATCTGTTTTTTCCCCCTCACAACACGCCTTTTCAGAATTTTAAAAACCCTAAATCTAATTTAGAGAGGACAAATAAAAGTAGTAGGTGACTTTTTTATAGATCAAGGCTAATTAGATTGACAACAAAGGGTCTGAGAGTCTCACAGTCTTGTCCTCACAACAGTGTAAATTAAATGTGATGCAGCAGTGAGCCAGAGTCATTGCAGTTCATTATGTGTTTGAATATATCAAAAATATTCTAAGAAATGTTTTAAAGCACCCAAGACTCATTTTTGCCAAAGACATGACTTAATACACGATACAAGTTTTAAAGCTTTGCCTGGAAGTAGCAGATTAAGTGATTTAATGGTGGAGCAGGATTGTTAAGAAACCCAATTCCTTACAAAGTACTTTATATTCTACCAAGAAAACGAATTCCTTACAAAGTACTATTCTATCAGTTGTAAAGTGTTGCACACTTCAAAGTGTATCTAAAAGTATCTTAGTAACACAAACAAAAGCAAAGAAGAAAAAAGCAAAAATCAGTAAAGTCATCTAACAAAACATATATTT